AAAAGAAAAAAACGATGGAACGCCGTAAGTCGTAGTCCCAATTCCCAAATCGTTGAAATCGGAAACCCTCGGTCGGCGTTCGCAGGTCGCTCCACCTGTCCTCTTGCTCAAAAATTGGTGGAGACAAAGAAACATATTGTGTATCCATTAGTTTTTTTACTTGTGAAATTAGCTTTGCTTTTACCAGTGGCCACCGCAACTGTGGAAAGAGCCTTCTCAGCCATGAAGTTCGTGAAGAACAGGTTGCGCGATCGAATGGGGGATGCTATGATGAATGATGCCTTAGTTACTTTTATTGAAAAAGATATATTCAAAAGTTTTGACAAAGAAAAATTTGTAGAACGTTTTCAACATATGAAAACGCGTCGGGGACAGTTGTGCTAAATTGACACCACTGACACGAACTCCTGGCTCCGCCACTGCTCACGTGACTAGGTTGCAAGGCGCACCCGCCAAGTTTTCCCTATTAAAAGCGGTGGTATCAAATGTGTAATAGGAAGCACCTCCCTTGGGTGAGAGATGTTGAACTACAAAATATATTGGACTTGGTTGACTATGGGCAAGGGACATTCCCGGTAAGGTACCTTGGAATACCGCTTCCCCCTCTTAAGATCTCGGTGGCACAATATGCGCCCCTACTTGATATAGTCAATGATTTTTTGAAAGCATGGAATACGAAGACTCTTTCCTATGCCGGGAAAATCGAGCTAATACGATCGGTGATCCAAGGGGTTCAATCGTTTTGGCTTCAAATTTTTCCGGTTCCTCAAACCATTTTGGATAGGATAGTCTCAATTTGTAGAATTTTCTTGTGGGGAGGAAAGTTTGCGAAAGTTTCTTGGGACGACATATGTCTCCCAAAAGAGGAGGGGGGCCTCAGCATACATCATGTTAAGACCTGGAATGATAGCCTCCTCTCTCACACGCTTTGGGACGTACACAAAAAGAAGGATACCCTGTGGGTACGCTGGGTCAATGGCGTTTATCTTCAAGGTAAGAGTGTGTGGGAGTTCATCCCACACGGCCGGGACTCGCAACTCATGAAAAGGTTGGGCCAAATTTGAGACAAAATTCGTGGATGCTTTAACAACCTAAACGAAACTTTAATGGGACTTAATGCCAGGAGCATAGATGGGAAATTAATATCAGGTAAAGTCCAAGTCTACGAGCTCCTTCGAGTTAAAGGGACCCCTAGGACTCCAATGAGCTTCATTTGGAAGTCCTATATACCTCCCAAATTTTCTTTCAATATAAGGTTGGCTTTGCGAAACCGGCTTCCTACTCAGGATAGCCTCGGTTACTTAAACATAGTAAATAGGTGTGACCTTTGCAAGGGTGGATTGGAAACAATTTTGTAAGGAATAAATGTACTTAGATTTTGATGATGTTAGGTCAATTAAAATATTGGAGTACCCTTTTAGAAATCTTGTATTAGAATTTTCCTTTGTAAGTATAGTCAACCGGCCAGAGATCCTCTTGGACCTTCTGATCAGAGTTGCTACCAGAGCTGCTCGACAGAGAAACATCAGAGTTCGACGTCAGAGCTGCCATCAGAGCTGCCATCAGAGTTCCATAAGAGAACCTCATCAGACTTGCTGCTACTTAGAAGAGTTCGAAGGTACTTCCAACGGCCGTGAAACCAATGGGAAATACCCTAACGGCTAGAAGCCAATCAATTATACATGGTACTATTCTCGCATTAAATGCTCAATTAATGTTGTTCGTACGTTGAGATATTTAAAGCTGATGATTGAGCCTGCGGATATCCTTTCGCCCCCAAAATAGCAAGTTGAAGGACCAACCGGTCAAATCAACAGTACAAGCATTTAATGAAGCTGTCTTCTACACTCCAACGGGAAGACCGCTCCAAGTATAAAAGATACTACTCGAAGAACAATCGGATAACTTTGCTACAACTTTTGCTCTCACAACATTCAAACATTCAAGCTTTCTTGAGATCCAACTTTCATCTTCCTCGACAAGAAAAGCCTACGTTGGAAAGATATCATCTCCATATCATCCCTTCCAACAAAGAGCAAAGTTCCTCCAGTTCTTCAACACTTCAAGAACCTCAACTACACATCTTTTGTAACGAAGAAACGTTGGAGAAACCTGATTTTCAATCAAACACTTCTTGTAAAAGAAGGGACGTCTCAAACTAGCTGGAGTAGTGAAGTGGAGATACTTCAAGAGACTCAGTGAAACGAGACCAGTCATCAGGAAGCCATGAAGAGCATCCCGGGTGACAACTAGGCTTGAAGAAGACGTGGAGTGCTTTTCAAGTTCTAGGGACTAAGGCGTTGTAATTGTTGACTTACAAGCTTAGTGGAACAGTGGACTAGAGGAACAAGCTGTTCCTTGAACCACTATAAAAACTCCGGTGTCATTTACTTTACGCATTTAATTTCTGCACTTTAGACTGCAACTGCTTAACTCCCAAGAACTTGGACTCTGTGCTCAGCAGATCTTGTTCTAAGAGTTATCAGAAAGGCATTTGCCTTAGTGTTTCCCTGAGGCTACCCAGACAGAACTTTTATCCGCTGTCAGGTCCAGTTCTAACATCAGAACTCGACCTTCTCTGTCACCAGATTCAGACCATCTCTGATAAGTCAGTGTAGACTTATAGAAAAGTCTGAAAAATCTAAATAGTCTATTCACCCCCCCCCCCCCCCTCTAGACTGTTTCCTACTTAAACGGGACCAACAGATTCCACACCTGTTTTTCCGTTGCTCATTTTCTTGTAGGGTATGGGACAACATTAGAGAGGCATTGGACTTGGGAATCAGATGACAACGCTACTTAGTGCAATCAAATGGATCACCAAGACGCACAAAGGAGCAACGATGAAGGCAAAGGTGTGTCGGATTGCACTTTGTGCCGCGGCCTATTACATTTGGCAAGCAAGAAATGAGGCGAAATTTGATGATGGGAAGAAGACGGAAGATGGTGTTGTGGCCAAGATCAAGCATGTGGTTTACAAAATACTCTTTAGTATTTACCCACATCACTTGGTCAATTTTTGAGGATGTCATGGAATGGATATTTTGGATGCCGCGGCCTAGACATATTGGATGCTGAGGCATGGACATTTTGGAAGCAACACCTTTTATTTTTGCTTTGATTTCATTGTATTGTATGATCTGTGTGCGTGCATATGCAGCACCGATACATATTTTGATTTTTGATTGGACAAGTGTTTATACTTGGTCCTTGAGCGTGGATTAGATCGAGAAAAAACCTCCTCTCACCCTACATTATGTGGGGGTGAGGGGTTTTAGGAGATCTAGGACACTTGATGTATACTTTCTTGGGTGTTAATATATATTTACATTTCATCCAAAAAAAAAAGGAAGCACCTCCCTTGACCCTTATTACTTCCTTATTGATTTTTTAAAATACATAATTAATTATTTGAAACATACGTAATTAGGTTGCTAAGCCTTATTGCTTCATTAAAATAAAAATAAGTTTTAATATTTCCTAAAATTTTGTGTAACATGCTTCTAAAATATAGCGTACTAAATATACTCTTGAAAATTATCTAAAAAATGGGAGTAATACTCATGATTTTCAGACTTGTGAGGTATTCATCTGCCTCACTATTTGTATCTCATTCTTTTTTTATGTGTTTCATGAAAATATCTAGAATGTTTTTAATTGAGATGTTTTTGTGATGATTTCTAAAAATACGGAAAAGGCAACGAGTAATGTAAAAATCGTTAAATTAACCGCAAAATATGTTGCCAATGTCGAATTTCTTGTCATAAAATGTACTTTCTGGTTCAAAAACTCTTAAATTGCAAAGACCTATTATTTAGAGGACCCAACAGCATGCGTATAAAGTTACAACACTAATAATGAGTATAGTCAAAAGTTACAGGACTAAATTGCTCAAATATAAAATTTAAAATATATAGCATTACAGCTTGCCTAGTAAATTACCTTCATAACTAAAAGTACATAATAGTCCCTCGGTTTTTTAAAAAATACACTAATAATATTTTTTCAAAAGTTTACAAAAGCAATATATTATATTTATCGTATGAAGGATCATAAAAAAATATTCAATTCAATATATTTTTGTCAAGATGGGAGAAGAAATAAAAATAGTATAACATTTTATACACAAAAAGTCGTTTTATCCATTTTTATAAAAAAATGTTATTTGCACTCAATTTAAATTGGATCAATTTTTGAGTCATCAACCAAAGTTACCTTCGAAGTGACAGCATAATGGTTTGTCAATATATACCGTATACGGAGTAGCAAATTAATAAGTGCGCCTAGCAATCCTTCGTTTATATTACTATATATACGCACTTTATTAGTTTTAAAAATGGGAGGGGCAACATGGTCTAGCTAAGGTTACAAATAGCAATAATGGGGGTGCGCCTAGCAATCCCCTTTGCTACTTAAACACTAATAGGACCAGTATAAAATAACTTATTAAAAAGTATACCTTCAATGGGTGTCATTTGAGGACTGGCACCGAGTAGCGATACCATACATATTTGTTTGAATCTCAATTAAGCAAGGCCGCAAGTGCTGGTGTAGTGGGCTAAGTAAACCAAGTTTGGAATAAAATAGTTGAATGACCTATAGTAAAATAAATATGACATATAATAGGAGGGGGACGAACAATACAAGTTCCATACAAGCTTACAAACTAAGAACCTTACATCACATCAATTACATAATATTCTTAAAATGTGCAAAATGTGTACGAGTGGTATGTTAGTATGTTTTTGTCAATTACTAGAAGTGGTATGTCAAAAATATAAAGAAGAAGTTAGAACCAATAAAGTGATATGTGACACTGGCATGTATAATATATATCTCAATGAAGCATGAATAACAAGGAAATTAAATTACTCAATAGACCACATAACAAAAAAGAACATGATTTTTTTATTGTAGCATGGAGATTAAAGGACTTTCCTTATCTTTAATAGATCATAATTGAGAATGATATAATGATTTAATGCATTATTTACTTGTAGGTATCCATCAAGTATGTTTATCTTGCAATCGGTTCTGGTATAGCTTCTTTATTACGTAAGTGAACTCCTCTTCAATCAGAAAACACATTTCTTTTAATATCAATAATACTCATGATATGGAAAGTTGTACTTAAGTACGCTACTTCAATCACAATTCAAGGTTTTTATTGTTTTGAGACATTTCTAAATAAAGTCTTACTTTAAAAATGTCCCTTATTACTTCAAATATAAGGGAGTATTCCCTTATAGGATAAATTGTACAATAATCACTAGTTCACTACGCCGTTAATCGAAAAAGGTTAATAACCACTTAATCATTATTCCCTTATTAATCTGTTATAGATAATGATTGAAGTGTTCCAGTTCCCTTACTAAAACGTTCCTTCCTCATTACTTCACACACACACATGCATATATATATATATATATATATATATATATATATATATATATATATATATATATATATATATATATAGAGAGAGAGAGAGAGAGAGATTTTTCTTATGACGTCTTGGCTGGAACCGTTGTGTGAATGCCTCCATTTGGGGTGCTTCCGAGTGGAATTTTTGGATGAAACTTTGTGAGAATGTTCTTCACAAAATTTAGATTATATCCACAAAATTTTGCCTTATAAATCAATCGGGTAGTCAGAAAAATAAATTATTGAAAAACATTGTACCAAACAATATATAAAAATCGAAGTGTTTTTCAATAATTTATTTAATTGACTTTCTGATAAAATTTTATGCATATAATTCTCGGTTCATGCAGAACATTCTCACATAATATCATCAAAAATTTCACACGAAAGCACCTCAAAAATTTCACACACACACACACCGTATATATGAGAACTCCTTATAAAGAGAACATTTAATCTCAACCTTTCATTTATTGCAATTTGATTCACATAAGGTCATATTCATAATACCCTACATTTAAATGGAGCATTTTTGCAATTAATCCTAAATATTTACAAAAATGCCACCTTGTCATTATTAACCATTGATTATAAAAATGAACGGTGAAGATTAGAATTTCTTATTTCAAAATGAGTTCTCATTTTGAGAGGGGTTCTCATAAGAACCCCCTATATATTTGATACTTATATGATACTTTTTAGTATAATGACCTAAGTCATGGGTTTAAAAAGTAGAATGGTCTATTTGAATCTTTTCTCTTTAGTATATCATTGAAATACTAATTTCTCATATATTCTATATATAGGGTCTGGTTCCAATAAAAAGTAGTCTTAAAATACAAAATGCTAACGCCTCCACTTTTGAGCGTCTGAGTTGCACTATTGCATTGAGAAAATTTTCGTCATCCACTTTTGATCCTTTACGGTACACTATTGCACACCAGAAGTCCACTTTTAGAAAAGAAGAAAAACTTTGATTTATATACAAAAATCTCACCGTGTTTTTCATCCACTTTAATGCATTTTTGACATACTTAGAGCCATTAGATCCTATATCCGATGCTTCAGATTCATTCCTATTTTTCATTGGAAGGACTATTTGTGTTTGATCCTAAACATATATATATTGAATAGAGATTGAATACAAACTCTCCTTAATTTACAAACTCATCGTGGTTATCCGATGAGTAGATTAAAGGTTATAAAGGCACGGTGACATTTTTGTAATAAAAGTCAATTTTTTTAGAATGCAACTCTATGAACATTAATATGCATATGCTATTTTATGGTTGAATAACGTACAGATGCATCACACGCATTTGCACAATAAACACATTTTGTACCTGATCCGCCCTCTACACACACAATTGTAGATTGTAATTGTCATAGTTAATTCCATAAAACAATAGAAGTCAAATTGGAAACTTTATCTCAGAAAAGGTAAACATGGCAGGGTTTCATGTATGTGTTTTTAGTTATTTCTTGTGTTATTGTTGTCATTTAAACTTTAAAGCTAAGGGAAATATATTTGATAGATTACATATTCTTGTGCTAAAAGAAAAGAATTTTCTAATTTGCAATGTCATTACAGAAATGTCGTGTTGGATGGTTACCGGAGAGCGACAAGCGGCTCGTATAAGAGGGTTGTACTTGCAAACAATTCTGAGACAGGACATTGCATTCTTTGACATTGAAACTACATCCGGAGAGATAGTAAGTAGAATGTCTAGTGACACTATTCTTATTCAAGAAGCCATTGGTGAAAAGGTAAAAGTTAAATGTTCCTAGTCTGTAGGGTAAAATTTGTTCATGTAACAAGAATGCGTGTATTAGTATAAGATATTTACATGTGTGTTGTATATATATATATATATATATATATATATATATATATATGGTGCTATGAAATTTGGTGAAAATTATTCTACACTATTTGATATTGATGGGTTAGTCTAAAATTGACTTTGTTAAAACAAAATAGAAAGATATTGCAAATTGACATTTTATGCAAATTATAAGGTCATGGTTAATTAGTTCATTTATTTTGGTTATTGTTGAATCCCACAAATAAGCTACTAACATATATGGATGCACACACATAATGAATAGAGAAACAAAGAGGATTCCTTTGATAATGATATGAAAGTTTTACAAAGGAAAACTCTCTGCTCTCAACAATGTCGCTCGTGTAAGGATCGTATGCACACATACCTAATGCGGTATACGTAGATACCTAGGTATTTGTTCTATCGCCTACCGCCTAATCATGGGCCTATTCATTTCAGGGTCCTATTTCATATTTAGGCTAAAAGCTAACAATCTAACAGGCCTAGAAATGGAAATACAATTATTACAGAAAACATTAAAGATAAATTGATCACAATTACAAAATATGTTCTAATATTTCTCCCACTTTGTGATCAATTGCATTGTAGCTCTTATTCATATCTGCTTGTTGAAATATGATTTCCTCAGCTGCAGGGCATGCTCAAAATGTTGCAACAATTGTCGCATATCAATTCTTTCATTGATGGCACCGAGCACTTTGATCATCCTATCAAAATCCTCGAGTTCTTCATCATTGGCTTCTTCAAGTTTGATCTGCTTTTGTAGCTCTTCCAGCTTTTCTTAAATGCTCCTCAGGGTCCCATCACATAATTTGGCAATCTCATCTAGCACTAGTAAAGGCTTCTTCCCTTTATGATTCAGATAAACTACTCCGAACTAAGGTTGGTAAAAATGTGATAAGGGGGCCGAACAAACATCAAGTCCTTGTTCGGATAGTTTTGGCTTTGTGAGATTTGCTTTTTGAGCGTTCTTCTCAAGGGCCATCTGAAGATCCAATGCAGCATGAACTCTTACTTGTCTCAACATGAACTGTCTAGGATTCTTCCTTTCACAGTGTACTTCTTGTAGATCATGGATATCTCATAGACATCGTCGAGTTTCAGCAGTGAAAAGTCAACTTCTTGAAAAGTGAGTATCGATTCATCAGAACGTTGAACTTTGTAGATGGGGTACAAGATACCTCCAACTTGATCTTCAGTAACTTCAAGAATATAAAAGACCTTAAGGACTTGTTTGTTCTCAGGTTGTGTTTGAGAACTACTCTTTGTGGTCCCATTGACCTATGAGAGAGAGTATATATAAGTGTCTACCTCTCTCCTTTCCAGCTAAGTGCGAGAGTCTTCTGACTTCAAGTTCATCCAGTCTCTTAATCTTCTCTGGTTTCCTCCAGATGTCCTTTCTGATCTCCTCTTGGAAGGGGACAATTATTCTGACATTATCCTAAGGTATATCAGGTTTGTTTGATTTTGGAATCTTTGCCCGCCTGATAACCTTTCGTAGTCCTTTTGGGATTTTGTTGTAGTCTTTCCTTGTTTGAGTTCATCTTCATCTCCAATAAGCTCGGTAACAACATTCTTCAACAGGCCTCTGAAAATGAACATTATATGCATATCATCAGCTTCACACTCGGCTCTTATTTCGCTCCATTCATTCCATTTGTGATTCAGGGCGTAATATTCTAGTGCGTCATTTGTGCATGTTGGAGCTTGAGTGTGAGAGGCTGTTGGCTGTGAAGATCTGTGAATAGTAACACATGGATCACGAAGATTACCCGTTGAAATCGCGTCAGAAACAAGTTTTAACGGATGGCCTGTTGTAGGTGTAAGCGTTGTAGCTACCTCGGGACTTCCATTCAATCCTCGGACAACATCCGTGGAGAATGAGCCTATGAATGTTTTATCTCGATCGGCCAGGCCAGAGGTTAAAGGGAGAATGGTTTTGGTTTTGGGCCGTTGGGTAGGTTGTTGGGGTTGGTTTTTGGAGGTTGAGGGTTGATGGATTGTGGTTCCTTGCTCAAGTATATTTTGCCTTTTCTCCCCATCGTGAGATTCTGAATCATCGGGATCCCATGTGGACGTTTGAGGCCGCGGAGACTACCACGACAAGTTAGGTCAGTATCTAGGATGTGGAGGAGGCGTTGTTATTCTGGTGTTAGGTTATCTGCGGTCGATAAGTGAAAATGTAGGATATCGGTTAGAGAGGTTAAGGATTCGGTTAGAGGATCGATGAGGTGAGTGGGTTGGCCCGGAGAGGAAACTATTATTGTATCATGGGTTCCTCGTGATGTGGTAGGCGTGGGTAGACGGTTGATAGAGTGATCGGATAGCAGTAGGGTGGTGGTTGGTGATGGTTGTGGATGTGGTAAAGTTGAAACAGGTTGCAGCGCTTGAGTTTATCAAGATCATTGTACAACTGCGGTTATTGCAGACTGCACCCTTGAAATAAATGTGTTTTTGAAAGCTTAGAAGGCGTACTATAAATGGCGTTGCAAGAGTTCCACAATGACTACTTCATTTTGGGGGTCATCACTACCAGTAACTGGAATGCTTACCATTCTCACGGTAACGGTAAAGATTACCGGTGTGGCAGTGTGTGGCCTGCTGATAATGGTAGAGCCAATTGTTGCGTAGCAGGACTTCCGACCATCATCGATGTTTCTCCTGTCGTTGTAGTGGATGGTGTGTGAAGTGTAGGTGTCCTAGAAATATCAGAAAATATAGGAATGGTGACACCTAGACTCGATGTGGACGAATGAGAGGTAGTGGTCTAGGAATGTGGACCACTATGTGTATCCTTAAACAAGGCTTGGAACAAGAAACGTAAAGTATGAAAGAATTCCTCCAAATCTCATATGATAAAATGAATAAAGCCTAGGGTTTAAATAGCCATTACAAAGCTAAAATGATGGCACACATTTACCTGCAATAAACATGGCTGGAAATGTGGCTATTGTGACTCAAATAGCTGACGAAAGATGTTTTCTTTGGACTGAAATTTGTTTGTCTAATTTGGTCTTATCTGGTTTGGTCTGAAATGGTCTGATCTGGTCTGGGACTAAAAACAATCCAAAAGAAAATATCCTAACAAACCAGTTATATAAACTAACTAGTCTGACAAATTCAGCTCCTAAAAGCTAGGTAACAAACTAAAACTTATTCAATAGTAAACTTGGTCACTGGCTCGTCCGGATACCTTCAAGCTTGATACCTTTAATTTCAACACTGTATGTTAAATACATGCAAGTTTTATACCTTTCGACCTTATGTTTCAAATTATTAATGAACATAATTAAACATTAGTAATGCTTAATTAAATACTCAAATGAATATTTAATGTTTTAGTTATGCCATGCTATTCCTGTATATTATAGTAACTCGGTCCGTCAATGTTTTCAGGTTGGCAACTTCATACAATTTATGTCAACATTCATTGGAGGCTTCACAATTGCATTTATAAAAGGATGGCTACTAGCGTTGATTTTAGCTTCATGCATACCCATCCTCGTTATCGTGGGTGGATTAACGACATCTCTCATGTCAAAGATGTCAAGTCGTGGACAAGTTGCATATGCACATGCCGGAAATCTAGCAGTGCAGACAATAAGAGGGATTAGAACGGTAAGCCAAACTCTACTAAACATGCATATTAAGTCTTGGATCTATGTATTGAGTATTGGCATGAGTTTCATTTCAAAAGCTAGGTGAAGAAAACGAGGAGTCGTTCAAGACTTATATTATGTTAATAACTTGTATTTTTTTAAAACCCGGTAGGTGTCCAAAACCCGAAGGTCTTGGGATAAGGGCCGGGGAACACCTTACCTGTTTATTAATGAAATCAAGATACAATGGGTAGGAGGGCTAAACCAAACCTACACACAAATTAAGATACATATGGATAACTAATAGCATCAAATTTGAGGATACCAACAAAACGATTAAAGTGAGTAGTTGTGGTTTTAATTGAAGTGCTTTTATATGCTAGGAATTCTGCTGCTCTATTGACTCTTAGATTGATCTTCGTTATTGTCCAGTTCAGATGCTTGAGCTTTTTCTTGATTGTATGAATTCGTGACCAGCACTCCCAATGTTGGATTGAGTGCCATGTGATGCCTTCATAGATATCCTTGTTATCTACTTCAAAAATAACATCTGTTAAGTTTGCAATGAAGAGGTAGGGAATGATATTTATAATAGCATCATAAAGAGCAAGGGTGCAGTTTTTTTTATGTAAATTGGTCTGATGACCAATATAGGACCCAGAGTCATTCCGAATAAGGGCAGCCGATCTAACCAGATTGGTGTTAAGAGCACAAGAGGCAAGATTGATTTTGCTATAGTTTGTAGGAGGCCTGATCCAATGGTTTAGGGCTGGTTTGGTGGCAGTTTTGGGGGGATGGCAGTATGCATGGTAATTTGGGGATTTGGGCAGTTTGTGAGAAAAGGTTTGGCAACCGAAAGGGAGAAAATTTCGGGTTTAATAGTGTTTATAGCCTCAGGCGGGCGACCCTTATTATCATCATAAATGAAATTATTTCGAAACTTCCAAAGATGCCAGGTGATGGTATTAGGAAGCACGAAATTCATGTCCCGAATATTACCTTTGAAGTCAGTGTACCATCTGTTAAGATAGTTAATGAAACTACCATTACGGGGCAGACGGAATTCAAAAAGATTTTCAAAGTATTGCCAGACAGTATTACTAAAATTACAAGAAAGAAAAAATAGTCGACAGTGTCATGATTTTGGCAATAAGGGCATTTAAAGGGCCCGTTAATGCCCATATGCATAAGGTTATCTTGAAAGGGAAGAAGACTGTTATTTAGGCGGCAAAGGAAAAAGGTGATTTTTTTAGGCGCCCGGTTATTCCAGAAATAATTATTGATAGTCAGGTTGGGCATAGCGGGTCGAATAGCATCATAGGCGCTATTAAAACTAAAATTTCCATTAATATTCGGTTGCCAAATGGGTCTGTCTCTGTTATCATTAAAGTGGATATGTTTATCACAGATTTTATCAATGACATAACGGGGCAGGATTCTTTTGATCTCAAGGGACAGATTGTCATTGGGCATAGCCTAAAAAATAGTCAGGTCATTGAGATTAGGAGGGATATCCTCCTGATAATTATAAAGAGGGCCAATACCACTCCAATTAGAGTACCAAAAAAGAGTTGTGACCGTCATTGACCTGCAGGCAACAATTCTCATCAAAAATATCTCTCACAGAATCAAGTGAAGAGCTCATGATTGAGGAGGATTCGTCTTTAAGGGAGTTGACCCAAAAAGCCCAGAGACCATGGTTATTTTGAAGCTTCCATTGAAGTTTTAAGAAGTAGGCACTCTGTATATGGCTAAGGCTTCTGAAGCCCAACCCATTTTCATTGGTCGGGTAACAAAGTTTGGTCCAGCTACACCAAATGCGTCTATTTTGGTCATTGTGCTTATCCTAAAGGAAATTAGAGAGCTTTCGCTCCATGTCCCTAGCATGCATGATGGTGTGTCTATATATATAGGCAGGGGCGGAGCCAGGAGGTGAGGGTAGGGGGGGCAAAATGCTATTACATAATATACTCCTCTTAAAGTTTATTAAATTAGTATCCCAATTTTTTCTTATAATTCTTTTATATTAGATACTTTAAGACGGATATCTCCAATACTACTCCATAATATATTATTAATAATATATTTTTACATACGGAGTACCGAGTATTATTTATGGGGTAATAATCACTTCTTCAAAATATAGTGTTGTTATAGATTAATATTTTCCAAAATGACTACTTCTAGAATATACGACGTATAATGTTTTTATACATATGATATTTTAATGAAGTATTGAAAAATTATAAATGTAGTACGGAGTATAACTATAAACATATTTTGAACTACTATACTACTAGATGAAATACAAATTTGGGGGGGGGGGGGGGCAAAAAAATAAATTCCAAGCCAATAATTAAAAAAATAAAAATGTTGGGAGGGGCAATGGCCCCCCTAGACATATGCATAGTTCCGTCCCTGTATGTAGGGTTGCTTATGACCGGTCAGCCGACCCCCTGAAAATTTGAAAATGCAGAGTATTGAAATACTTTCGTTTTGATACATTATAGTTCGCTTAATTTATTATGTTTAAAGAGTAATGACTCTTGGAAATAATATTAGTTACTCCATATATATTTAAAAATAATGTCTATACCCTTATATATCAAAACAATAATTCTAACCAAACATTACAACTCAGCTGGTTGTGAGGTTAACGTGCCTAGTGGGAGGTCTCGAGTTCGAAACCCGCTAGACACATAAGGGTTCGAAACTCGATGGAGTGAGTTTCAACCCTGATTACTCCAGGCCCCCAGCCCTCCCTCCCCAAACCCCCTGGAGTTAAAAAAAATCAAACCAATATAATAATTCTCTAGATCTCATTTAAACTAACGTTTATCTCATCTAGATATGAATTATTCAACTGAAGTATTGTATCAAAATGATTCGACCTTTTGATACTACTCTACATCACCAAGATTTGACCCCCGACATGTTTTTATGGCTCAGCAACCATCTCATATCAAATGAATTATCTTGATGTGTTGTTTATGTGTAGGTTGCCTCCTTCACAGGAGAGAAATTCGCAACCGAGAAATATGATGACAAGCTCCAAATTGCGTATAGATCAACGGTGCAACAAGGACTGGCTTCTGGTTTAGGACTTGGTCTTATGTCACTGGTGGTTAATTGTACTTATGCTCTAGCTATATGGTATGGTTCCAAGCTTATAATCCACAATGGATACGAAGGAGGAGATGTGATTAACATTCTTTTAGCCATCATTACCGGAGGAGCGTAAGTATACATATACATTATTACATTTGTTTCGATCACTTATATTACAGCTTGGCCTGGCCCGGGGGTTTAATTAATTACATGTAAATTGATCACAAATTAAAGATTATATATATGTCTATATACATATCAGGTCACTGGGCCAAACAAGTCCATCTCTCAATGCATTTGCAGCAGGCCAGGCAGCAGCATACAAAATGTTTGAAACAATACACCGAGAAACACACATCAATGTGCATGACCCAAATGGCATTGAAATGAAAGACATGAGGGGTGATATTGAATTTAAGGATGTTTACTTCGCATATCCAGCAAGGAAAGATGCACAAATCTTTGCAGGATTTTCTCTTCATGTCCCAAGTGGCAAAGTTGCAGCTCTTGTTGGTCCTAGTGGAAGCGGAAAGTCTACCGTCATCAATTTGCTTGAAAGGTTTTATGACCCCGATTCAGGAGAAGTGATCATAGACCACATTAATATCAAGAATTTCAAGGTCAAGTGGTTAAGGGAGAAAATAGGACTAGTCGGCCAAGAACCATTCTTGTTCTCTACTACCATAAAAGAGAACATAGCATACGGTAAGACAAATGCTTCTGATACAGAAATCGCAAAGGCAATAGAGCTCGCAAATGCTGTTGAATTCATTGACAAGCTCCCTAAGGTATGAACATCATTCAATTTTTTTAATTTGTTTCATTTAAAAGCTAGCTAGTATAGTTTTGATTTATATATATATATCCATAGTTCACTTTAATTAATTCCTTGATCGAAGTGCATGCATGCATATTTTGTTATACATATATAGGGGCTTGATACAGTGGTGGGAGAAAACGGAACACAACTCTCGGGTGGACAAAAGCAAAGGATTGCAATAGCAAGGGCTATTGTTAAAGACCCAAAAATCCTTCTCCTAGATGAAGCTACTAGTGCTCTGGATGCAGAATCAGAACGCGCTGTGCAAGGAGCACTTGACAAGCTTATGAAGGACAAAACCACTATTGTTATTGCTCATCGTTTGACTACGATTCGAAATGCCGATATAATCAACGTACTGGATAGTGGGAAACTTGTGGAACACGGTACGAATCGTCTTTGTACTCGATCTTGGAGCTAGGGTACTGGGTAGGGGTGGGGGGAAATACCGAAAATTCAGTATACCGCAATTACCTTACCGAAAAATTCGGTATTCTGTCATTTATGGTACAGTATCATACCGTAGATGACCGAATACCAAATTTTCGGATTTTTTCTAAAAAATTGGTATATCGGTATATATAATACCAATATAATACTACGTACTACTTAGGAGTGAGGAAGGGTCGGTTACAAAGAAGAATACCAAAATATCAAAATCAAGACCTACTTGCCCACATCAATTCTAAACTACTAGTGTACTTCAATTGGGCGGCGGCATTGAAATGTACAGAGCAGAGAGTTGGTGACGGCCGACGAGTGCATTGTTTGATATTATTATCCATGGCTTAAACATCAAATTTTAGTATTCCTAAAAACCGTTTAATTATGGTGCATGAAGACCTGGTTTGTGTAATCGCGTACTTGTTATGGCTTTTTGGATGGATTTAACTTTACTGTTATGATAAAAGTTGTTAAATTTCATTGCGCAAAATCATGAAATTCGACTTTAAAAGTTTTTAAAGGTGTGGTGTTGTATATGAAAAAGATATGGTGTGGTATACCGAAAAATATTCGGTATTACCGATTTTAAGGTACGAGTCTTTTGTCAAACGGATTTTTCGGTACTGAAACACGGTATACCAAAAGTTTTGGTTCAGTAACGATGTATAATTTTATGATATAGCAAATACGTATGGTATGGTATACGATATCTCTTGAGTATTTCAGTACATTGTACATTTGTACCAATCCACCCCTAGTGCTTGGTATGTACATGTTTGATTGGTTCAAGTTACTTCAAATTATTACCTTGGACTGCTTTGTTTAGTAGCAAGTGTCTGTTGATATTGTAATTAAGCTAGGAGCCTATGACCAACCACCCGAGAGTGGTCATTTGTTGATTATTTATAACATGCATGGGTAGCTCAGTTGGTAAGTGTTGGAAAAGTTGGAACATTGATCAAGGATTGAAACTCACAGCGGCCGTGTGGAGGTTACAGCTCATGCGTGTTTGGGCTGGACCTCTGGTGCGCACGGGTACAAGATCTACCATCATTGGGGCAGAATAAGTCGTCGTGACTTAGAACCTCGTAAATGCCTTGTCGGGTCGAGGCGTGGGAAGCCCGGGTTGGGGATTCAACCTTTGGAACATTGTTGATTATTTATGTCTGACTCCGTAATACGTATTTTGTGTACTTTGTAGGAAGTCATGATGAGTTAATCCAAGATAGTTGTGGGGTATACGCGCAGTTAGTAAGATTGCAAGTACAGCAGGCATATAGAAAAGATTCAGAAATTACAAATGTGGATGATGATGAGTCATCAACACATGAGCCTCTCACGCTTACCGATGATCCAATTCACACCCAAGAAGACCAAATAAAAAATGAAGAGCAAGAAAGAGTGGGTGATGATAAAGCATTGAAGAAAAGGAACATCAATACCGCCGCCACGTGTTTCAGAAGGCTTGCTGCTCTTAACAAACCAGAGATTCCATATTTGTTTGTGGGAGTAATAGCTGCATGCTTTCGAGGACTGATCTTCCCCTTATCGGGCACCCTACTCTCCATAGCGATCAAAGAGTTCTTTGAGCCTCAAGCAAAATTGCAAAAAGATTCCATCTTCTGGGCAGTCATGTACATTCTTTTCGGCCTTTTTACTTTGCTAGTTGTGACCATCCATGATTTCTTCTTTGGAGTTGCGGGTGGCAAATTAATTCAGAGAATACGTTCATTGACATTCAAGAAAGTTGTCTACCAAGAGATAGCCTGGTTCGATCATCCTTCAAACTCAAGGTACATTACATATATATACGTACGTACACACATACCATTTTTAACTTATTGATCATTATTCCTTCTATGATCTACTAAAACATATATTATATAGCATTTGTTTTTATTTTGTGGCAGTGGTTCTATTGGGGCAAGATTGTCTGTCGATGCTTCCAGTGTTAGGAAGCTAGTAGGAGACGCTTTGGCACTTATCATTCAGAACATAGCAGCCATTTTGGCAGCCCTCATAATTGCCTTCACATCCAATTGGCTTCTGGCTATAACTGTTCTCCTTGTGTTACCATTTATAGGATTGCAAGGTTTTGTACAGATGAAGTTTTACCAAGGCTTTAGCAGAGGCGTGAAAGTAATCATATCATACTCTCTAGTACCTACCATTACTATATAGGCATGGCAATTATTTCTTACAATCGTATATGGGTCATGTCTCCATCAATTGAGGGCGTTTTTAATTGGACTCGTCTCAGTCCCAAATTAGACCACAACATACTTCCAATAGATAATCTTTTATAATTGATTTTATGTTATAAACACACCAGATCATGCTTGAAGATTGATAATTCTTTTAAAAACTTACTTTCATCTATAAACGATTGATTTTATATTATAAACATTTGCACATGCATTAAAATATTAGGTGTATGTATGTGTACGTAGGAGATGTATGAAGAGGCGAGTCAAATTGCAAATGATGCAGTTGGGAGTATTAGAACGGTTGTATCATTTTGCGCAGAAGAGAAGGTTATGCTGATGTATGAAAAGAAATGTGAAGGCCCTTTGAAGGAAGGGATCAAAGTAGGAATTGTGAGCGGGATGAGTTTAGGAATTGGTTCTGCAGTTCTCTATCTTGCAACTGCGTTTTGTTTCTATGTAGGAGCCGTTCTTGTTGAACATGACAAGGCCAGCTTTGCTCAAATCTTTAAGGTCATACATACTATATACTACGTATAATGTACCTACCTACATTTGGTCATCAATTAATCCACTTTTCTTAGCTTTTCTTTAATATAGTTTGATCGACATGCAGGTTTTCTTTGCATTGGCAACGACTGCAAATGGGGTTTCTCAAGCTTCTATCACAGCACCAGACCTTAGTAAGGCTTGGGATTCAGCGGCCTCCATATTTGACATTCTTGACAGAAAACCAAAGATCGACAGTACTAGTGAGCAAGGTATAGTTTTGGCTAACGTCCGGGGAGAAATTGAGTTGCAGCACGTCATTTTCCGATATCCAACTCGCCCTGATACCTTGATTTTCAAGGACTTGTGCCTAACCATGCCCGCTGGAAAGGTATGCACGTATATATGCATGCTTAGCTTAATTAATTTCATAAGATTTTATTATCATTATTATATATGCAGTGTATATCAATAATTAAGGATACAGACATGTATTATATGTACAATATAGAATTTGATAATGCTTTAATTTTGAATAGACATGTGCTCTAGTAGGAGAAAGTGGATGTGGGAAATCAAGTGTGATTGTGCTATTAGAAAGATTTTATGATCCCGATTCTGGAGAGGTGTTACTAGATGGAGTTGCAATCAGGAAACTGAAGTTGAGGTGGCTAAGGCAACAAATGGGGGTGGTGAGCCAAGAGCCAGTGCTGTTGAACGAGACGATTCGCGACAACATAGTATATGGGAGCTGTTGCGGCAATGTCACAGAGGAAGAGATGATGGAGGCGGCAAATTCATCCAATGCGCACAACTTCATCTCAGCGTTGCCTCAGGGGTACGAAACTGTGGTGGGGGAGAGAGGGGTGCAGCTATCAGGAGGCCAAAAGCAGCGAATAGCTATTGCCCGGGCGATTCTTAAGAACCCCAGAGTCCTTATGCTGGATGAGGCTACAAGTGCACTAGACAATGAATCTGAGCGTGTGGTGCAAGAGGCATTAGAGCGAGTGAGTGTGAACCGGACCACTATCATCGTGGCGCATCGTCTGTCCACTATTGCAAGGGCAGACTTGATTGTGGTGCTGAAGAATGGAGTGGTCACAGAGAAGGGAAGACACGATGAACTTATGAGTATCAAAGACGGAGTTTATGCTTCCTTGCTGGCACTTCACACTCACACAACCTAACCTCAATTTAAATCTATATACACATGCATAAATCTATATGTACAACTAACTAATCCAACAATCACGCATTTAATTTAATATAATTAATCAATGCAACAACTCAAACACTTTCTTATCCACATATATCTGTACACTATATATATACATATATATACATATACATAGTATAATACTCTGTACAAAAGTACTAATAGGAATTAAGGTGAGTCCTTATTCTATATATCCAAATGTTACCATCTTAAATTGAAGACTCGTGAAATAGCTAGCTAGGTTCAGCTAGGTTCAATTAAAGTGAATTAAGGGTGCGGCATTAGACGTACTGCCAGTGGTGTTTTCACCAATTCACGATTTATATATTGCTCTTGTACTATATATAATTCAGTTCTGATATTAATCTCTCAACACCTTCAAAAAATAACATTTACAGATCCATAATAATACTACGTACCAAATACTCGATCATACAACTTTTATGTGTTTTTGTGGTAGGCATGAGGCATGAATCACCAATTCAAATGCTTTTATTGTACATCAATTTTGAGTTTTTTACACTACCGTATAAGTGTATAACTATACCATGTATGACAATACAATTCTCAAGCTATAATAACCCTCCAAATAATTCACAATATATTCTCAACATTATTAATAGTAAAATGAATTCAATCTCATGTATAAAAGAAGTGAGCCCCCTGATCAAATTGTGCACCTATTTAAACTCGAAGTTAATTTTCAGCCAAGTAATTAAAAAATAAAAAATCAATTTAATTTTTTTTTAAAATGAAACATCTCCAGAAAACCAAATCAAACAAACACGGTATGGTAGAACTTGCTAAGAAGCAGAACTTGGCTTGTGTGTAGTGTATATTCTATGTTGGTTGTTAAATTATATCCCGTATGGCTGGACTCTGGAAGGTCTCTGGCTCTCTGAATAGGCATGCAGAATACCGGAACCTTAAGACTCCTTTGGCGCACATGTTTTATATTTACAAAACATTGTTTACTTTTTGACTTTTTGTTACTGTATTAAATACTCCTATAGTCCTATGTCATTACTTGCATTACTTGTATTAAATTCGCATATAGTTATCACTTCCCGTGCATTACTTGGTTATATATTATCTCCGTCTCTAAGGGGAATAATATTGAAATATTTTAGATTGATAAATTGTATTACCACCAAAGGAGCTAATTTTATTCAACTGCACAAAAACATTGAACAAATCCTGGCGTGTTTACACTTCACACCTCCCTTCCTTAACAGTTAACACTAGACAATAACACGAGTTGAAGATGCTTCCAAATGCTGGGAATTTAGTATGTTATGTTTTAAGATAGATTCATTAGCATATTTTTACAAAATTCAATGTACAATTTTTCCAAGCCTAACCAGTCACATTTCCACTCCATTTCCACAACAATATTGCACTCCCCAAAAGGCTATAAACATTATAACCACTTCCATATTTTCTCCCCTTCTCAACACGTCATATAAACAAGTCGAGGTGAGCCAAGAGAACAAAAACGATTAGAGACATGTATGTCAGTAGTCCTTATTAGACGAGGATCTCCCCCTCTTCCCCATCTTCATTTAAAACTGCTTCTTCTTCTTGCAGAATTTCCTCCTTTATATACAAACCGAGCCTCTCTAGTGGATTTCTAGCTTCAGAAAGATTCACTCCAACTCCATAGACAAGTATATCATTAGAGCGTGGGCATTGACAAAGCTTCTCAAGATCTTTGAGTATCTTCAAATTGTCATCAAGATCAACAGTTCTTTCCATCTGTGTACAACAAAAAATCATGAAGAGGTTTTCATTACAGATGGGTGGGGGTTTTATTTTGCATTTTAAGATAGTTCTTTTAATGTTATAATATTTACAATTATCTTGTCATTTAGTGATTACAGCAAATCAAATCTAATCCTCTAGATTTAGAATTCTTAAATAAAAAACTCTCCTCCAATAAATCACTCGCGCACATGCCTAGGAAGCACGGAAACGCCAATCGGGTAGATGTCACCGTCTCGGAAAACGTTTCACAAATGCAAAACAACGGAAAACGGCTAGAAATGCCGAGGAAATGATTCTGCGGTTGTGGGCTGTTGGGCTGAATAGGGGAAACGTTTCGGAAATGAAATTTGAGGTGGGCCGACGCATTTCTTGTAAATTTTTAAGAACACCTGGGTCAGTCAATCAGTTGTACTCTCCATGGGCAGAATGAAACTCTGAAACAATACCTGCGAGGGCTGCGACTTGCGAATCCTCACTTAGAAAGAGTGCAACACTCGACGAGAAGAAGAAAGCGACGAAGGGCGATTCGAACTTGAAGGTTGAAGCAATAGCTATGTTGTAAAAACCGGACCGCAAGAGCGACCCGGAAGAATGATCAGGTCACAGGCCAACCAGGACCTGGCGGGCCAACGCCACAAACCCCGGTCAACTTTAATTTTATATAAATTTATACTCCCTCTGTCCAGATCTGTAAGACATTTTACGGTTTACGATGTTTGACCAACGATAAAGCAAATTGACCCCTGTCAACACTGAAATTAGTTTTAGAAAATAAAATTTACATATTCAGAAGCTACATTAAAACCACTACAAAACCTGCAAAAAATAATAATTCAAATTTCATAAACTTTTGATATATAAAGTTAAAGAAAAGAGTGATTTATGTTACAATTTGGGACATAGGGAGTAGTAATTAACATATCTTAATATATTTTAAAAAATAAAAAACATTTATTCTTCATTATGATAAAATAATAATAATATTTAGTAAGAAATTTTGTTATATTCAAAATTATTATATGATACTATGAATTTGTTTTAGTTTTAAAATATTTGAATATTTCAACATGGTATTGAATAAGAATTCTGAAGTATTTATGAATATTTAATATTCAAAGATATTCACACATTCATCATATTGTAAAATATAGTTTTAGGCCTATATGAAGCAACAATATTATTTGAAATTTATTTTATACATTTATAAAATATTTATATTTGATTTTCCTTCCATAGTAAACATTATTTAAATACGAAGTATATAACATACTTTGATTAAAATTATACTTATTATAAATGTTAAAAGTATTTTGCGAGTTAACTTATATTTGAAGTTTATATACACATTAGGATCATATAATAATAGAAACAATATGTATTATTTTATTTATTATGCATTCATGAATATTTATTAATACCATTTTAACTTATCAGATTGATAGATGTAATGCTAAGTCTCTACCAGTCACTACCAGGTTAAGCAGACATTTGGAGTGCATGTTGGAATTTCTCAAGACTAAGCAGGGTTCAAATCCTAGCGATGAAATAGCTTTTGCATTTGACTTACATCTGGATTCTTCCGGGTTCCCACGGGCCCGGGTTGCACCTGGGTCCGAGCGGGCAGGCGAGTTTTTCTGGTTTTAACTACATTTGCGGGTCAGTAGATGAACGGACAGGATAAGTGGCTGGTTCACCAGTTTCCAGGCCGACCCGCCTGGTATGGTTCGGTTTATTAAACATAGAGCAATAGGCGACGCTCACAGGACGCAGAATAGGCGATTCCGAGTAGAAGTGCTAGACTGCTGGACAGCTGAAGTTGGTGATTGGCATCTAATTGCTTATTGGATGGTGGGCAGGGACGGAGGTATGTATAATAGCAAGGGGGCCATTGCCCCCCCCCCCCCAACTTTAATGTTTTTAGTTAGTACTTAGTAGTATTGTTATGCTGCCCCCCTACCTCAAATCTTTTACTAGTATTTGCTAGGAGTCTAGGACTATTATATTAGAATAGAGGTAAAGTATTACTTAGTCCTAAAGCCCCACTTTAATATGGAAGCAAATTTAAAGTCCAAATATCAAGTATGTTAATTAAAAAAAATTCCCTGGTGGACCGTGGACATTAGATGCATCCACAAAACCTATTAGAATAGAGGTAAAGAATTACACTTTTTTCCTTTTACTAATTATTTAAAATTGAAAATAGTTTCCCAAGTATATTACTAATTCATTATTGACTAGCAAGTTTGGTCCAGTATACTTAGTTAAGTTGTTTACCTTTTTTAGACATTTGCTAGTATTTATTATCTCATGCCACAAAATCGTCAAAATGTCTATCATAGATTTTTTTATCGGTGATTTCATGACATGCAAGAGAGATGTAACGTTCTAAATTTTATCTCACATGGCGTTTAATCATGTACTTTTGAATACTATAGATGAATACCAATACGTCATTTAATGTAATATGTATATTTTATTTATATTTTAAATCCTACTCCGTATTCTTTTTTTATTTCACCCCGCCCCCCCCTTCGGTCATATCCTGACTCCGCCCCTGATGGTGGGTATTCGGGTGAGAGGATTCAGATTATATTTGGCTAATTTATCCTTAGATGAGCCAGAATTGGAGTGTGTTCGTCGCTGAATGAAACATTTACTTGTTTATTTATTTCATATTTGTTGAACGAAATATTATCTATATTAGTAAAATTTTAATTTTTAGTTCAACGTTTCCTTGACGTACCCGTATCTTGATATTTTGACATTAGAGTTTCCCCATCCCCATCTCCGTCCAGGTGCTACTTAGACTGAACAACTGAGATACAGATATTGCCTTCACCTTTCATATAATTTAACACTTTCTTGTTTTACCATTAAGATGAGAGAGATACCTTCTCCAATGCAATCCTGGCAGCTTCCCTTTCTCTCTCCCTCTGGATTTTCAACTCAGTCTCTACCCTCATTCGCGCAGAGGTTTCAGCAGCTTTAATTTGTTCTTCAATCCTTGCTTTCTCTGCAATTCATGATATCAGTTAGATCCTGAGACAATACCCCAAAAGAAAATTACAAAACAGTGCTAATTTGTATTAGCAATGCAACTACTACAGCATATATGTGTCTTGGGAACACACAAGACATGCAAACCATTGCATCATTACTCTACAACAACAACATACAATCCTTAGGCCCAAAAGATTTTGGGGTCGGCTAACATGTATCAATACATGATAAGAGGAAGAAATCTGAATGTGAACCTGTCATTTAGCCCTTGTTGGGTTAGAAGACTTCAGGAATAAGAGGAAGAGTGAAAGAGCTATCGATTCTTCCTAACTCCTCATATTCCACTTGCCCAATTTTGGACCTTTGGCTAATTGGAGTTATCCTTTTTAAATTTCCTTTTCACCTTTTTTAAAAATCAAAATAGTTCTGCATCAATTTTGTCATACATCTAGATTACTATGTTTTTTATTGCACTAAAATATTGGTAATATATATATATATATATATATATATATATATATATATATATATAAAACTATTATGAAAAAATACACACCCTCAAAGCTCTATTCCAAAAATTACATCTATTAACTTTCTTGTTTTCCTCCCCACCCC